CCGCAGCCTGCCAGGCTCCTCCATCCATGGGATTTTCCAGGCAAGAGTACTGGAGTAGGGTGCCATTGCCTTCTCTGCCTAGGCTCACTAGATCTCTCCTATAGAAAGAATGTGATGGAACAGATGTTTGGCTGTTGCTTTGACTTCCCATGTGAGTGTGGGAACCCTCCCTCTGGTCACGGCCTCAGAGGACCTTGCCACTGAAAACTGACCTCCAGGCAAGTGCTTTCAATCAGTGTGTGACTCTCAGAACTCAGGATCCTGGGAAAGCTACCGTCCTTAGAGGAAGAAAAGGCATCCTCATAGAGAGTGTTTTCAGGCCTCTATCTTACAGGAACTGTTTTCTTCTAAGACGTGAGACCTTAGACCTTAGACCTAAGACATGAGACCTTCTAAGATGTGAGGCCTGCTCCGAGGCCCCAAATTCCAGAGTCAGGGCCTTTTATCTCCCTGCACCTTCCAAGCCTTGCACACACATTCCTGGGTTATAGCAGTACTGCCCATGTGGAAGCAGGCTGCCAGTGTATAACAGTGCTGGGTGCCATATTGTGGTCACCTCTTGGAGGTGACATTCCACTGCAAGGAGTTGTGAGCCTCCTGCTTGCTTCAGAAATCACAAAGGGTGGTACAAAGCTAGCTCTGTCAGAGGCAAGGAAACAGCAATTGGATGGATTTCCCAAGCAGTTTCTAGGCCACACTACTTTAGGGCCCCTGAGAGTAAAATGCAAATTTTTCCCCACAGGCCTATTATCCAGGTTGACACACAGGGTACGCACGCGCAGGATACAAGAATGTTCCAGACAGACCTAGGCTCAGTACGTTGCTCCTTCAGATAAAATGTGATGGAACAGACGTATGGATGTTGGCTTTCCCTGTGACTGTGGGACACCTCCCAATGGTCACGGACTCATTGGACATTGCCACTGAAAAATGACCTCCAAACAAGTGCTGACAAGTGGTGTGTGATTCTCAGCATGCAGGATGCTGGGAAAGATTTCCTTTGAGGAAGGGAAGACATCCACAGAGAGTGTGTTTTCAGTCCTCTATCTTGCTGGAACTGTTTTGCTTCTAAAATGTGAGACATCAGGCCTCCTCCAAAGTCCTAAATCCCAGGTCAGGGCAGTGTGTCTCCCTGCACTTTCTGAGTCTTGAAAACACATCCCTGGTTCATCCAGATACTGACAATGAGGATGCAGTCTGTGCGGGTATGTCTGAGAGTGCTGGGTGCCATACTGTGGTTCCATCGTGGAGGTAACATGTCACTGCAAATGGGCCCGAGGCGAGGTGTTGCAAGCTGCCCACTTGTTTCATAAATCCCAAAGGGTGGAGCAAAGCTAGCTCTGTCAGAAGTAAGAAAACAGCAATTGCATGGATTTACAAGCAGTTGCTAGGCTGCACCTCTTTGAAAGTGAAGTGAAAGTGAAGTCGCTCAGTCGTACCTCTTTAGGGTCCCCCAGTAGAAAAATGTGAATTTTGGCCCCTAGGCCCCGTATCCAGTTTAAATCACAAAGTGTGTCCCACAGGATCCAAGAATGTTCCAGACAGACCTAGGCTCACTAGATCTCTCCTACAGAAAAAAATGTGATGGAACAGACCTATGGATGTTGTTTTCGCTTTCCCTGTGAATATGGGAACCCTCCCGACGTTCACAGCATCAGGGGACTTGCCACTGAACAATGACCTTCAAGCAGTATGTGATGCTCAGCATGCAGGACCCTGGGAAAGCTTTCTTCTTTCAAGGAAGTAAAGGCATCCACAGAGAGTGTGTTTTCAGGCCTCTATCTTGCATGAACCGTTTTGCTTCTAAGATGTGAGTCCTCAGGTGCTACTCAGAGTGACTAAATTCCAGAGTCAAGGCCGTGTGTCTCCCTGCACTTTCCTACACTTGAAAACAAATACCTAGTTCATTCCACTATGGTGCCTGAGGATAGTGTTGCGGGAGTGTTTCTGAGAGTGTTGGGTGCCATGTTATGGTCACCTTGCCAAGGTGACATTATACTGCTAATTGGTACATGGCGAGGAGTTGTGAGCCACCCTCTTGCTTCAGAAATTCCAAGGGGTGGAGTAAAGCTAGCTCTGTCACAAGTATGAAAACAGCATTTGGATGGATTTTCATGCAGTTGCTAGGCTACACCAGTTTAGAGGCGCCCAAGAGAAAAATGTAAATTTTGCCTCCTTGGCCTGGTATTCAGGCTGACACAGTTAGTGAGTCCCCACAGGATCAAAGACTTTCCAGATAGAACTGGGCTCACTAGATCTCTCCTACAGAGCAAACTTGATGGAAGAGACTTTGGATGTTGCTTTGACTTTCCCTGTGAGTGTGGGACACCTCTGAGCAGGCAAGGCCTCAGGGGAACTTGCCACTGAAAAATTACCTCCAAGCAAGCACTTTCAAGCAGTGTGTGGCTCTCAAGATGCAAGAGACTGGGAAAGTCATCTCCTTTCGAGGAAGGAAAGGCATCCACAGTGAGTGTGTTTTCAGGCCTCTATCTTACACCAACTGTATTGCTTCTCAGACGTCAGACTCCCAGGCCTGCTCCGAGGGCCTATATTACAGAGTCAGGCCCGTGTGTCACCCTGCACTTACCGAGCCTTGCAAACACATCCCTAGGTCATAGTGGTACAGGCCATGAGGAAGCAGTCTGCGGGAGTGTGTTGAGAATGCTGGGTGCCATGCTGTGGTCACCTCATCGAGGTCACCTTGCACCTCAAAAGGGCCCCAGGAGAGGAGTTGCGGGCCACCCCCTTGCTTCAGAAATCCCAAAGAGGGGAGCAAAGCTAGCTCTATCATAAGGAAGAAAACAGCAATCGAATGGATTATCAAGAAGTTGCTAGGCCACACCATGTTAGGGCTTCCTGAGAGCAAAATATGAATTTTGTCCCCTAGGCCCAGAATACAGGTTGAAACACAGGGTGTGTCCCCACAGCATCCAAGAATGGTCCAGATAGACCTAGGCTCAGTAGATCTCTTGCAGAGGAAACGTGATGGAACAGATGTTTGGATGTTGCTTTGACTTTCCCCTTGAGTGTGGGACCCCTCCCTAGGAACCGGGGCTCAGGGGCCACTGCCACTGAAAAATGACCTCCAAGCAAGCACTTTCCATCCGTGTGTGACTCTCAGCCCGCAGGCAGCTGGAGAAGCTATCTTCCTTGGAGGCAGGAAAGAGCTCCAGAGAGTGTGTTTTCAGGCCTCTATCTTGCAGCAAGTGTTTCACTTCTCAGACATCAGACCTCCAGGCCTGATCCAAGGGCCTAAATTGCAAAGTCAGGGCTGCATGTCTCCATGCACTTTTTGAGCCTTGCAAACACATTCCTAGGCCATAGCAGTACTGCCCATGAGGAAGCAGGCTGTGGGAGTGTGTCTGAGAGGGCCAGGTTACATACTGTGGTCACCTGGTCGAGGTCACCCTGCACCTCAAATGGACCCCAGGCAAGGTGTTTCGTGCTGCCCCCTTGCTTCAGAAATCCCAAAAAGGGGAGCAAAGCGAGCTCTGTCAGAAGGAAGGAAACAGCAATTTGATGGATTTTCAAGCAGTTGCTAGGCCGCAGCATGTTAGGACTCCCTGAGAGAAAAATGCGACTTTTGCCCCCTAAGCCTGATTCAGCTTGATACACAGAGTGTGTCCCTGTAGGATTCAAGAATGTTCCAGACAGACCTAGGCTTACTAGCTCTCCCCTGCAGAGGAAACTAACACAAAATTGGAAATCAACTATATTCCAATATAAAAGAAAAATTTAAAAAATGAGGTTGCTCCCATGCCTTCAAGGAGCCTCGAAAACCTGGCCTACACCTGCCTTCGGAATGCAGCCTCTACAACCCTGTCCCTGACTCCCTCCACTTTTGCTGCTCACGAATCCTGCCACCCTTCAGTTTTAGTGGACAAGCGTGTATCTAAATGATAGTAACTGATCATTAAAATGGGAATTATCAACAAATCGTTTGCAAAAATGTTCTAAGTAGATCATAAATAGCAGATAGAAGATTAAATCAAGAAGAGTTTGGGTAAAGCTCACTACTTGAGTCCCAAATTATGATTTCATTAGAAGTAAATGCCTTGAAACAGTTGAGAGGCTATAAGAATAAATGACCCAAGGCTGAAATGTTTCCCAAATTAATTCAAATTGACATGAATGAAAATAAAATTATCCCAACAAATATGACAAATACCTCCAATAAACACCACCACTTGCTAGCTTTAAAGAATATACATCTTATACCTAACCTATACAGCTGTCCTACAATGAGAGCCTTAGCTCTGTACATATTTAAACAGATTAAATTTTGTAAAAAGTTTTTTCTTGAGAATATGCTACTGTTCTAGCATCTTAATAGTCAATTACAAGAATTATACCTAATGACAACTGCACCAAGCACTTCTATAAACATCAATTAACTCATTAGCTATAATGATTCTGGAAAGGAAGAAGTTAAAAATATAAGTAAGCACCAGGTCTTCTGACTCTACTAGTCCTCTTACATCAAACCATGGTTACTTCTCTAATACTAACATATAAATACAAAATAAGCCTCTTATTTCACTCATGGTGCATACACTAATGGTAATAGGTAAAATTTAGAGAGTTCTTCTTATACAATCATGAGATTATTTGCTGCTTCCATAACTTTCAATACCTTTTTGTAATGTCTAAAATAGTAAGATAGGGTGAAACACAATGAAAAACAGTTATTAATTATCACTAAATAATATGATGTCATATCTATCACTGTTTTCAAAAATTCCTTGTACTAAAATAGGACCCTACACAGAGCAAAGTGTTAATTTCCTAACAAGAATGACATCCAAAATATGGTCTCTGAACTGCCTGTACTTTTCCTCCTTACCATCAGTGGAAGTGATAAACTACCCTAATGATTTATCAAAGAAGTGAAATCACTACCAAAAATTAAGAGTATCTATTGCTAGTAGAAAGAGGTATGGGTTTTTTTTGGGGGGGGCCGGGAGGGGGGGATGGGGTAGGCAGGACTTTTATAAGTTTATTTTGAAGAAGTTACTTTTGGAAGTGTTCAAAAATGTTTTTACAACTGATGCTGCAGTTTTCACAAACTGGAAAACAGTAAATGATGTGCAAAGGTTGCTGACAGGCCAGTAGTTACAGAAACGACAGTGGAGCCAGGAACAGACTCTGACTGAGACACTGGAGGGGAGGCGGGTATGGAGTGACGCACACACTCCCCCCAGAGCAGAGAGACTTGGTGTGCAGCGCAGTGGATGGGGGAGTACACGCCGTCTGTCTGGCCTAAAGCGCAATCGGAGGAGGGTGCCGGCTCCTCCTATACAGTTGCAATGATTTTGAGATCAATTCCTATGGAAAATATTAGAGGCCTCTCCTTGGATGAGGTCATCGTATGTCCCTCCCTGACTGCTATAGACAAATGGATCTAAATTACAAATATTACTTTATCCAACAGATGACAAATGCCATTCCTCCTCAAAATACAGATGTATAGGCTTTCACAATCATCTATAATTTCTATTATGCATACTGCTGGTTTATAAAATATATACATACACAGATACATACACACACATAAATGACTATAGAAACTACTTCAGACTTCATTTCCTTATTAGCCATTTCTTTCTGCTTTTGTTTGGCAAAGTGATTGGCCAGGATTCCACCCTGTAAGATTCTGGCATTCTGTTCTCCAGAAAGCTGCTTCTGAGTGTCTCCATAACCTGAAGAGACATTACATTAACTTTTTAGGCCCATACCATTAAAAGAAGAAAAAGAAAAAAAAAAAAGTTAAAAGCTTAAGAGCAGAATTTAAAATGCAATAAAACTGTTTAAAGGAAGTAGCCTTTTTAAGCACAAGGATCTTTATTCCACATGAGTAACTTGGATCTTAATTTAAATGTCAGATAAATTTATCATAGAGCAAAAACACACAGATATAGTATTGTGAAAGGAAACTTCTTTACAAAGCATTTACCTAGTTCCTTTGCAGTCTCAAGGCAATTTTAACATTAAAAAAAATTTAACATTAAAAAAGCCAAAATTAATACGTGGGTTGGAATTAAGAAGATTACTTTGCTTAATGTATCAAAAGTGCCAATCATTATGTTAATGATTAAGCTCAATTTACGTCCATTCCTCTACTCAGAAAACACATACAGAGCATCTATTAGAAGCCAAGAATGGCAAGAAACTAAATCACTTAAACTCTGAATGTCACAGTTCATACCTAGGATGAAATAAAAATTTTGTTTTAAACCTAAATAATGCATATAAAATAAAAGGGATATTATAAATAATATTGATGAAATGGTGTTAGAAATTTGAAATTTTCACCAATGATTACTCTACCTGATTCAGATCATTTCCCAGTCTTCAGTTCCACCTAGTGCTCTGAGAGTGAGTTCAAGTTGCTGTTTCATTTCAACTTCTTTACCATATTGGTCTGCCTTTCTTCTTATCCAACCCTTAATTTTTTCATATAACATATCAGCATTTCTTCTATTCTCTTCTTCTTGTTTAAGGTCAATCTGCAAAATTTATAGAGCTCTTCTTAAAAAAACATGAGATTATTCACTGCTGCAATAAATTTCACTGCCTCCTTAGAATGTTTAAAATGGTAAAATGGGGGAGGGGTGATACAATGAAGAACACTTAATAATAATCACTGTTTGCAGGCAGAGGGTTAAGAACAAAACGACATATTTTTTTTTCTTTTCTGTCTTGAGAAAAATGACTACTTCATACTTCTGTGGGTGGGACTGTAAAGTAATCTAAACTTTCTTAAGGATAGTTTAGAAACATGGATCAAAAACCATTTCTAAAAGTTTTCATATTTTAACCAAATAATACACTATCATTAAAGAAAATGAATTCAAAATAAATGGAGAGGTATAAATGAATCTGTAGAAAAGACTTTCCCTGTAGTATTAAATATAATACTGAAAAGTGAAAAGCAACCACAAGTCAATCTGTTAAATCATTAATGAAGTTTCTGTTATGGTGGGCTTTGGTATGATCATGAAAATGATTATTTGGAAAAATATACATTAAGTCAGAAGCATTTACTGTTAATCAACTGTGAAATCAATGGACACTGATCATCAGCTTACATTTGCCTGGCTCTTTGACAAGTATCATTATTGAGGCTCAAACTAATAGAATCCCAGCCTGAAAAATCTGAAAACAAAGTATCCATTTATTAGGATGTGAGTAAGAATACAACTCTGACTACCTGATACAAACTCTTATTTCAGAGAATCAGTTTAATGTCCTCCTCTCCCCTCAAACTCACTACTCCTTCGTCGCTTATTGTATGTCCCACGTCACTGCCATTCATGAAGCAGTTTTACCTAGTGTGTCTCAATTTTTCTACTTTTTACTTTTCTAGTATTCAGTTCAGTTGCTCGGCCGTGTCCAATTCTTTGCAACTCCATGAATCGCAGCACGCCAGACCTCCTTGTCCATCACCAACTCCCGGAGCTTACCCAAATTCATGTCCATCGAGTCGGTGATGTCATCCAGACATCTCATCCTCTCTCATCCCCTTCTCCTCCTGCCCCCAATCCCTCCCAGCATCAAGATCTTTTCCACTGAGTCAACTTTACACATGAGGTGGCCAAAGTATTGGAGTTTCAGCCTCAGCATCAGTCCTTCCAATGAACACCCAGGACTGATCTCCTTTAGGATGGGCTGGTTGGATCTCCTTGCAGTCCAAGGGACTCTCAGGAGTCTTCTCCAACACCACAGTGCAAAAAGCATCAATTCTTCGGTGCTCATCTTTCTTCACAGTCCAACTCTCACATCCATACATGACCACTGGAAAAACCGTAGCCTTGAATAGATGGACATTTGTTGGCAAAGTAATGTCTCTGCTTTTTAATATGCTATCTAGGTTGGTCATAATGTTCCTTCCAAGGAGTAAGCGTCTTTTAATTTCTAGTATTACTTACATCAACTCACTCAATCTGTTACCTATTATTCGTTTCATAAGAAATTAATAATTTAACTTCCACAGAATTATTAGATATTAAAAATCTTACACATTTCAAAATCATTGTAATATTTATTGAAAATAACAATTCTAGCACTTAGGGAATGAACCCTATTCATCTGTTTCGTTTCAAAACTTAGTTTGTCTTGGCACATCATGCTAATGCTTCAAAGGATTTCTGTGAAACAACTGCTAAAAAATCAGCTATTTTTAAAAAAAAGTCAATGCCTTCCACATTCAAATTTATCTACTTTGAACAACAAATACCAATACAACATATACCTTTGATACCTTTGATTCCCTAAAGTGGGGAACAAGACAAGGGTGCCCACTCTCACCACTACTATTCAACATAGTTTTGGATGTTTTAGCCACAGCAATCAGAGAAGAAAAAGAAATAAAAGGAATCCAGATTGAAAAAGAAGAAGTAAAACTCTCACTGTTTGCAGATAACATGATCATAATCATAGAAAACCCTGAAGACACCACCAGAAAATTACTAGACCAAATCAATGAATATAATAACATTTCAGGATATAAAATTAACAACCAAAAAACTTTTGCATCCCTATATACTAACAAACAGAAAGAGAAATTAAGGAAACAATTCACCATTGCAAAGAAAAGAATAAAATACTTCGGAATAAATCTACCTAGAGAAACAAAAGACCTATAAATAGAAAGCCATAAAACACTGATGAAAGAAATCAAAGGTGACACAAATAGGTGGAGAAATATACCATGCTCATGGACCCAAAGAATCAATATAGTGAAAATGAGTATACCACCCAAAGCAATCTATAGATTTGATGCAATCCCTATCAAGCTACCAACACTATTTTTCACAGAACCAGAACAAATAGTCTCACAATTTGTATGGAAATATTAAAAAAAAAAAAACTTGAATAGCCAAAGCAATGTTGAGAAAGAAGAATGGAACTGGAGGAATCAACCTGCCTGACTTCAGACTATACTAAAAGTTACAGTCATCAAGACAGTATGGAACTGGCACAAAGACAGAAATATAGATCAATGGAACAACATATAAAGCCCAGAGATAAACCCACATTCTATGGACACCTTGTCTTTGACAAGGGAGGGAAGAATACACAATGAAGAAAAGACGATCTCTTTAACTAGTGGTACTGGGAAAACTGGTCAACCACTTGTAACAAAGGAAACTAGAACACTTTCTATCACCATACACAAAACTAAACTTAAAATGGATTAAAGATCTAAACATAAGACCAGAAACTATAAAACTCCTAGAAGAAAACACAGGCAAAACACTCTCTAATAAATCACATCAGGATCCTCTATGACTCACCTCCAAGAGTAATGGGAATAAAAGCAAAAATTAAAAAATGGAACCTAATTAAACTTAAAAGCTTTTGCACAATGAAGGAAACTATAAGCAAGGTGAAAAGATAGCTTTCAGAATGGGAGAAAATAATAGCAAATGAAGCAACTGACAATGAATTAATCTCAAAAATATACAAGCAACTTCTGCAGCTTGATTCCAGAAAAATAAATGACCCAATCAAAAAGTGGGCCAAAGAACTAAACAGACATTTCTCCAAAGAAGACATACAGATGGCTAACAAACACATGAAAAGATGCTCAACATTACTCATTATCAGATAAATGCAAATCAAAACCACAATGAGGTACCAACTCACGCTGGTCAGAATGGCTGCTATCCAAAAATCTACAAAAAAAAAAAAAATAAATGCTGGAGAGGGTATGGAGAAAAGGGAACCCTCTCACACTGTTGGTGGGAATGCAAACTAGTGCAGCCACTATGGAGAACAGTGTAGCGATTCCTTAAAAAACTGGAAATAGAACTGCCATACGACCCAGCAATCCCACTGCTTGGCATGCACACTGAGGAAACCAGAATTGAAAGAGACACGTGTAACACAATGTTCATCGCAGCACTGTTTACAATAGCTATGCCATGGAAACAACCTAGATGTCCATCGGCAAACAAATGGATAAGAAAGCTCTGGTACATATACACACAGCTATTAAAAAGAACATATTTGAATCAGTGCTAATGAGGTGGATTAAACTGGAGCTTATTATAAAGAGTGAAGTAAGACTGAAAGAAAAACATCAATACAATATATTAACACATATACATGGAATTTAGAAAGGTAGCTTAAAGCTCAACATTCAGAAAATTAAGATCATGGAATCCGGTCCCAGCACTTCATGGGAAATAGATGGGGAAACAGTGGAAACAGTGTCAGACTTTATTTTTTTCGAGCTCCAAAATCACTGCTTATGGTAATTGTATCCATGAAATTAAAAGACGCTTACTCCTTGGAAAGAAAATTATGACCAACCTAGATAGCATATTAAAAAGCAGAGATATTACTTTGCCAGCAAAGGTCCATCTAGTCAAGGCTACGGTTTTTCCAGTGGTCATGTATGGATGTGAGATTTGGACTGTGAAGAAAGATGAGCGCCGAAGACTTGATGCATTTGAACTGTGGTGTTGGAGAAGACTCTTGAGAGTCCCTTGGACTGCAAGGAGATCCAACCAGCCCATCCTAAAGGAGATCAGTCCTGGGTGTTCATTGGAAGGACTGATGCTGAGGCTGAAACTCCAATACTTTGGCCACCTCATGTGTAGAGTTGACTCAGTGGAAAAGATCTTGATGCTGGGAGGGATTGGGGGCAGGAGGAGAAGAGGATGAGAGAGGATGAGATATCTGGATGGCATCACTGACTCGATGGACATGAGTTTGGGTAATCTGCTGGAGTTTGTGCTGGACAGGGAGGCCTGGCCTGCTGCAATTCATGGGGTTGCAGACTCAGATATGACTGAGTGACTGAACTTAACTGAACTAAATGATGACCCTCTATGAGACAGCAAAAGAGACACAGATATAAAGAACCTACTTTTGGACTCTGTGGGAGAAGGTGAGGGTGGGATGATTTGAGAGAATAGCATTGAAACATGTATACTATCAATATGTGAAATAGATTGCCAGACCAGGTTTGATGCATGAGACAGGGCATTCAGGGCTGGTACACTGGGACAACCCTGAGGGATGGGATGGGGAGGGAGGTGGGAAGGGGGTTCAGGATGGGGGACACATGTACACCCATGGCTGATTCATGTCAATGTATGGCAAAAACCACTACAATATTGTAAAGTAATTAGCCTCCAATTAAAATCAATAAATTAACTTTAAAAGGTCAATGCCTTCTATATTCAAATTAACCTAATTTGAATAACAAATACCAATAAAACATATACCTTTGATGCCTGAGAGTTACTTAGAGCGGCTGGGGTTTCCCCTACTTCCAGCACCACCACTCCCCTCCCATCCGCCCCCAGGATTCTCTGGAGCAACAATGATCTTTTGTCTTTTCAGTGTAAATACACTGAAGCCATCTAGAAGGAATTCTCTCAAGTGTCCTCATCAACTCCAAACTCACCTCCCTATGGACTTACTTTCTTCCCTTCCTCCTTTCACTAGATTCTCTCTTCTCCAAAGGGTAATCTCTGGATCTGTGGTCTTAATTTTTCCCCTTTACATCCTTTCTATGGATCATCTCCACCACTTCCTTTTCCCTTTCTGCTTAGCAATGATATCTTACACCTATAATTGCTACTTCAACTCTTTGCTTCCCTCTGGCTATAAAAAAGAAAGAAAAGCAAAATGATGCTTTTTCTTGATCCTGTTATGTCCTGCACTATCCAATGCTCTTCTTCCAGATGTCTCTAAAGGCAAGTCTACACCCTTGCTACTCGGAGAGCTTGTTAGAAACACAGAATCTCAGACCTGCTGCTCAGCAAGTGCACTTAGCACACAGTCCCCAGGAAACTAGTTAAATTTTGAGAAACTCTGGTCTACACTTAGTCTGCTTCTATATTACTTCAGTTTAATTTATTCTTCTAAAATCTTAGTCTCACTCTAACACTTTCCTCTAAACTGAAACTGTGTTAGAAGTCAGAAACTTTCCAGTGTACACTGTATGAGGCTGTAGGTTCCTTGATCTCCCCATCACGGCCCCTGTTCTCTCCTCCTTCCAGTTCTCTTGCTTTAGCCTGTGTGACACCACCCTATAAAGCAGCAACATTTCATATGACATCAATCTGCACACATTTACAGCTGAGTACCTATGCCTGTGTTCCTGCACAGAGGCTAATACACAGTTCTGCATGCCCAGGGACCTCGATCCTGAATGCCTTCTGACAGCCAGGAAAACATTAAGACAGGGAAAACTCTACTGTTCTTCTCAGACAAATTCATTTCAAATTCATCACCCATGTCAAATACTCTCCCTTTTTCTAAAGACCTATCTTACTTATTGTCACCTTCCCCCTTAGACTCTTGCCTCCTTTTCCTTCATTTCCTCCCTGTACCCTATGCCTCTCTCATCCTTCACTCCCTCTTTCCTCTTATTTCTCAACCTTCCTGAGGTTGTAGAGAGTCTTGAAACAGAACTCATTTTTTTTTTCTTTTGGCCACGGGTCACATATAATGTTAGTTTCCTGACCAGGTATCAAACCTGCAACCCCTGCATCAGAGCGTCTTAACCGCACAGTCTTAACCATTAGACAAGACTGCCAAGGAAGTCCAGGAATTCATAATTTAGGTCCTTAAATGGTAACCTCAATTTAATCTGTGGCTGACAGCTGTTAAGATACACTATTTCCCTCCCCGTCTTTTTCATCACTACACATCCAACAGGTGATTTTCTCTGGCTATTAGAATATGTCAGCAGTCCCATTTTAATTCAATGTTCTGTCAATGACTTTTCTATCAAATCCAGTTCTTACCGTCTACGTGTCCATTTAATGTCTCTTTTCCTCTTTGACCAGCAGCTCCAGATAAATGGTCCACATATTTCTGTGGAAGGCTCTCAGAGACACTCTGTTAAAATTAATACTCAGGTGCATGAAGGTTTCCTAAACCATTTCTAAGAAAATACCCTACTTTAAAAAGCGCCTGTGTTTAACCCGGGTAAGACAGGTTTTGCCAAGATCCCACAGCTGCTATGTGTCAGAACCAGGATGCTGACTTCAGGCACGGTGCTGGGTCACCAGGCAGCAGTCGCCTGCAAGGAAGACAGCAGGCCCTTCCTATCTCCTCCCACTGGTGCCACCTCAAACAGGGCACCCTCACTTTCTGTTACTGCAAGTATGGCTGCCATAAAGGTACTCTGCACATCCAAAATGCTTTGTATTATTGGCGTAAAAGTGAAAGTTGCTCAGTCGTGTCTGACTCTTTGCCACCCCATGCACTATATAGTCCATGGAACTCTCCAGACCAGAATACTGGAGTGGGTAGCCTTTCCCTTCTCCAGGGGATCTTCCTGACCCAGGAATCGAACCGGGGTCTCCTGCATTGCAGGCGGATTCTTTACCAACCAAGCGATCAGGGAAGCCCTTGTTAACACATCACTAAAGCAAACTGCTGTTGTCATAAGCCCACACATTTATCACTACCCCTCCCCATGCTTTTGTGTCTCTTGAAATGTTCCTTGCAGATCAACTTGACAATACAAACGCAGTAATACTTTCAAGTTTCACGAACTATCTTTTCAAGGCCGAAGTGGTAAAAATACACAATTCATTCTGTTTCTCTCTGACCCTCTCTAGCAGTTTTACACATGCACAGGTACCAAAGAAACACACACGTGGCTGGGAGACGGTGACTGACACATAGACACTACACACTACTGTTTATAAAATAGGTAACTAACGAGGACCGACTGTACAGCACAGGGAACTCAACACTCTGAAACAGCCCAATGGAAAAAAACGTTTTTAAAAAGAGCTGATAAAAAAAAAAGAGCAGATATACATGTACACACATAAATGATTCACTGTGCTGCACATCTGACACTGACACAAGATTATAATCAACTGTAGTCCAATAAAAATCGAGGGTAGAATGGAAAGAATAGTCACAAACATTTGGCTGTAGACTGACCTGGACTAATGCAGCAATTCTTAGATAAATGTCACTTCAGAACCCAAAGTGTAGGGTAGGAAAATCAGGATATTGTCATTATCCTCAAATTAAAAACAATTAGGAGCCCGGTGACAGCAGAACCCACGCACTGGCCAAGCCCACTGCTAGGGCCTCGAAGCTTTCTCCGGGCGCCCCCGCCGGCCCCACATGGAGGGGGCCCGGGTTAGAAGGCCAGCTGCCCGCCCCTCAGACCAGAGGACGACCGCCTGCCCTCCCAGTTCACAGGGCCCAGTGCCCAGCTCACAGGGCCCCGGGGCGCCGGCGCGCGTTTCCCACTGACAGGGCCCCGGTTCTGGCCTCACACGCCCCCTGCGGTGCCGGCGCGGCTCGCCACTCACACGCTCCCACCTCACTGGCTCACGCTCCCCGCTCACACGCACCCCTTCCCCCCCCGCTCCCCGCCGACCCGGCTCGCCGCTCAGACGCCGCCCTCGCCCCAGTGTGCTGGCTAAGCTCGCCCCTCAGACGCCGCCCTCGCCCCGTGCGCGAGGGCGCGCTCACCGCTCTCACAACCCCAGATGCCGGCCCGCCCTCCCCGGCCGCACGCCCCCCGCGCAGGCGCACGCCCGGCTCGCCGCCCACACAACCCCCGCCCCCCAGGCGCCGCACACTGTGTGCAGCCTACCCCTAGCAGAGGCCAGGCCAAGGCTCTCCGCCCGGCGCCTGCGCCGTGTTCTGCGAGAAGGCCGTGGAGCCGCCCGGGAGCTGCCCCGCGCGGCAGAGGGAAGGCTGCCTGAGGCGGGGCGCCGTGAGGGCGGGGGCGGGCGGGCGCCTCCCGGGGCCGCTGCTCTGGGGCTGCACAACCGCGAGCGGGATGGCGGGTGTGCCTGTGGTTCCCCTCTGTGGCTGTGGGCAGGTCGGTTTCGGCGGCTTCCCCCGCGCGCGAGGGGTTCGCCGCCACTTCCACAGCACCCCCTGCTGCCCCGCGTCCTCGAAGTCGCTGTGCGCGCGGGCTGCGCGGCGGGCGTCTCCCCACCCGGTGACGCGCGGAGAGACCGGGAGACGGGCTGCTGGAGCTCAGGTGCGAGTTACACCGGGGAGGTGGGGACGGATAGCCCGGGCGTTAGGGCCGCGCCCTAAGGGCTGCGGTGAGGATAGACCTACCGGGGAGCTGGCCATGCAAACACCTTCCCCTCCCCGCCGGGGAGGCGGGGGGGTGGGGGGCAGCAAGGGGGCTCTGGGGCGGGAGGTTTGCGCTTCACTCACAAGGCATTTTCAGAAGAGCGATGGGATCTGTGTTTAGATAGCTGTCGCAGCGCTTGTGGCTCATCTGGTAAAGAATCTGCCTGCAATGGAGGAGACCTGGGTTGAATCCCTGGGTTGGGAAGATTTCCTGAAGAAGGGGAAGGCTACCCACTCCAGTATTCTGGCATAGACTGTCGCAAGGAGTCAGACTTTGCAAAGAGTCAGACTGACCTACTTTCACTTCACTAATTAAGAGGCTTCTCCCCTAATTAAGGGGCTTCCCTCATAGCTCAGTCCCTAAAGAATCTGCCTGCAATGCGGGAGACCCAGGTTCAATGCTTGGATTGGGAAGATCCTCTGGAGAAGGAAATGGCAACCTACTCCAGTATTCCTGCCTGGAGAATCCCATGGACAGGGGAGCCTGGCAACCTACAGTCCATGGGATTGCAAGAGTCGGACATGATTTAGGGACTACGCAGGGGAACATGCAGCACTTTGGGGAGTGGATCGGATAGAAGAAAAACTAGTTCTGAGTGGGTTATAATAGACAGCAGGAGAGATGGTATGGTCAACAGCCTGGTCAGGGGTCACTGAACATCGTGTCCTGAGACGACAGATCTTGCAGGTACAAGGACAGGGGTGGAGGTGAGAGGAGTAGCGGGGGAGGGGAGGGGAGTGGAGGGGAGGGAAGGGGTGGGACCACATCTCTGGAGGCTTCTCTCAGGTAGCAGAGTAAACATCTGGCGGTCAGCAGGAAGAGCCTTTGGGTAAGGTGAGTTTTGTTTTGAACATTCAAGAGCACTTAGTCAGACACTTGGGCCATTTAACAGAGGGGGAAGCTGAACCACTGGAATTATGGATCAAGTTAAAGGGCTTGTCTGAACGTGCACTTGTTGGAAGCAGAGCCCCAACTTGAACAGTTTTCTTCAATTCCAGTCTGTTATTCTTGCAACTTCAGGCTGTTACCTTATCTAAAAAGTTAGGAGACCACAGTGGGAGGTTCACTGGAGACATAGAACTCAGAGGTGTTGTTGTTATTCAGTCCCTAAGTCATGCCCCAGTCTTTATGACCACATGTACTGAGGCATGACGCCAGGCTTCCCTGAGTTTGCTCAAGTTCATGTCCACTGGATCTGTGATGTCCTCCAACCATCTCACCCTCTATAGCCCCCTTCTCCTTTGTCATATCCTCAGGGTCTTTTCCAGTGAGTCAGGACTTTACATCAGGTGGCCAAAGTATTGGAGCTTCAGCATCAACATAGGTCCTTCCAAGGAATATTCAGGGTTGATTTCCTTTAGGATAGACTGGATTGATTTCCTTGCTGTCCAAGGGGCTCTCAAGAGTCTTCTCTAACACTACAGTTCAAAAGCATGAATTCTTCGGTGCTCAGCCTTCTTTCTGGTCCAACTCTCATATCCGTACATGACTACTGGAAAAAACCATAGCTTTGACTATAGGGACTTTTGTCTGCAAAGTGGTATCTCTGCTTTTTAAAACACTCTCTAGGCTTGTCATAGCTTTTCTTCCAAGTAGACAGGGTCTTTAAATTTCATGGCTGCAGTCACCATCCGCAATGATTTAGGAGACCAAGAAAAGAAGTTCTGCCACTGTTTTCATTTTTTCCCCATCTATTTGCCATGAAGTGATGGGACTGGATAGCATGATCTTAGTTTTTGAATGCTGAGGTTTGAGCCAGATGTTTGAGAGGGGTGGAGGCTTTCCAATATGGCCCCACTAGGGTGAGAAGACTAGGTCACATGGGGAGAAAGGAGCCCAAAGGAGCGGACAGTGCCCACAGGTGCTGGCTTTTCAGACTGTGAGTCCAGCTGTCTGTTTTGCTCAGACTTGAAGTGTTGATTTCCCACTTTGGAAAGCTGCAGGGTGGAGGAGGGGAATCAGGGGTGAACTTTGAAGTGTAAAGTCACTGGCTTTCTGGGTCTTAGAGGGTGTTGGTGCACCTTTTCTTGCAGTCATGGCTGCCTTTGGGGGCTGGCCACTGGGACAGCTGAACTGGAATTAGACTAAGAATTGGTCTTGATCTGATTGACCCCTTATACCCTGAACCCACACATGCTTTCAAGAATCATTCCTCCCTGGCAGATGGTAGCTGGTTTAGAGCAGGGACTCTGCCTTGTTCACTCCAGAATCCCTCATGGTTAGGTACTGTGTTTGGCAAATTGGAATGATGCACTTTGTATTTACAGAACTGATCATCATTTGAGTCTTTAGGAAAATTATCTTGAATTCCAGGGGCTTATAGCTGGAGGTGGGAGCAGAAAATGATGCAATTCCCAGAGTAAATTTTAAAAATTTAAGTCTTAAAAAAAAAATTAAATCTGAATACTCAGTTGTATCTTTACAAGTTTATTTCATACTTGTCTTTTGTATACCTGCTGATCTCTTAATTGTGCCAGAGTTTCAGCTTTCCCATAAAATAATATTTGTGATAAAAGGAATATTTAAGTGAATTCTAGTAAATCAGACTTTCCCATGATATCTTTTTAACCAGTTGATGAAAGAGTAGGTACAAATCATGTTTCCATTTTTCATTAGAAATCATTTCTTATATTCAAGCAGCATTAAATAGTGTAATTTTGTAGTTATATCCATAGTGCTAAAGCATTTTTTTTTTTTTTTGCTAATGCATTTATTTTGGCTCTAACAGTAGATGGGTTGCTTGTCATTGTTTTGTTTTGAGGTTTTTTGTTTG